AAAAAAAAAAGGATAACTATTGATATTTTGAATGCTAAAAAAAAAAGAAGAAATTGGAGCAAGTTTTTCTAGGTTGACAGTAAAGGACTGGCCTTTGTGAGGAGCCAAGATCTGATGAGCAGCCAGTCATGCTACGGAGAAACCCCCAAAATATTCAATACGCAAAGGATGCTGACATAATCACTAATGGCTTTGTTTCTAGTCTGAAGCCTAAATCAATTCACTGACAGTCTACTTCTCAACATAAAACACAATTATAAACATATTATAAGCTGTGATATTCAAGTTATAATAGATAACCTAGATTGCAAATGGAATTTCCTTCCTCTTAGGCTAATGATACTGATAGCTGGCAACATCAAGGCCTATCATTACTGTCTGTAGGAGGCACTTCAATAACAAGCTGCAACATATCCCCAAATCAATCTCATGGCAGAGCACCTGCCTAGCAAGCATGAGGCCCTGAGATTCGAACTACAATACCATTAAAAATAAAAATCTCACGGTAGTTTTTCTTGCTAACAGATTATTGGCAAAAGCAAAGAAAGATTAATTTGCATGGACTTGTTCAAGGCAACATAATTCAATAGCCACAAATTGGAAATAAGCCAAATGCTCATCAACTAATGAATGGATAAACAAAGTGTGGTATGTAAAAATACTAAAAACCATTAAATTTTTTTCGGTGGGCCTACAATTTGAAGCCTTAGGACTTCACACTTGCAGAGTAGGTGCTCTACTGCTGAGCCACACCTCCAGTCCTAAATTGTACATTTTTAAAAGGATGAATTTTATGACATATGAATTATACCATGGTAAAGCTTTTTAACTGCACAGACTAACATACTGAGGCAATGTCTACGTATCCATACCATTTCCTGTTCCTAATATCTGCTAACTATGGCAGCCAATGCCTCTCATTACACCACCTCCAGAAGAACATTGAAATGCCTCTGCCTTTCTGAGCATCCTCTTTCAGACACAGGAGAGAACGATAAGCTGAAGAGATGAAGCCAGCAGTGCAGGGAAGCCAGTATAGAAAACAACATCTGTCACAGTCAAGACACACATATTGTACAGTGACTCCTTCACATGAACAATTTCTTCAGGTTTCTACTACCAGTGACATAGGCCCCAATTTTAAGGAAACTGAAGTTCAACAGACAAATTATGAAGTGGTGTTCTTGCTACGTAACATATCTCATCAAAATAAGGCAGATGCTAATTCATCAGTACTCCTGTCACTAGCATTCCAAAGATGACATAATCAGCTTTTTCAAAGGGCTTTATTCATTTATCATAAAAATGTTTGCACATCTTAAAAATCAAAACTACAGAGTGGGTAGAGTGGCTCAAGTGTGAGAACGCCTGCCTACCAAGCATGAGGTCCTGAGTTCAAACTCTAGTATCCCTCCCCCAAAAAAAAACAGGAAAAAGTTTAACTACCCTATTATGTCATAAACCAGGTAATCCTGTATTTACATCATGATGATCCTTCAATCTTTGCGCAGTTCATAAACTGTCTTTTTTCCCGAATCTAAGCATATTTCTACCTTCAGTCTTAGGCGCAATACTGTAATAGTTGCAATTATTCCAACCTGTGGATGTACTGTAACTTATTTATTCTCTTCTCAGTCTTAAGAGTTTACAGTACTTACTATAAAATTGTAACAAAGATCTTGGTGCATAATAATATTCCCATAATTTGCATTATTTCCTTAGACTAGATTCTCAAGAAAGGAATTGACAAAAAAGGAGTGTGAAGGGCTGGAGGCATGGCTTAAGCTGTAGAGCACGTCTCATAAGCATCAAGCCCTGAGTTCAAACCCTGGTACAGCCACCCTCCCCACAAAAATATGACTACTTTAAGGTTCTTGGTATATACTCATACATATTTCCCAAATGAACTGTTGATTTAGTCTCATCAATATAGCTTTTTTGTTTTTTCTTCATATCAGACAGGTGAGCACTCAGTCATCATGCTTATGAACCAAAAAAAAGAATCAGTATAGATTTTCTGATGTGGAGATGGGGTCTTTACTGTGTTGTTCAGCCTTGTCTACAACTCAGGGATAGCTCAAGCTATCCTCTAATCTCAGCCTGAGCAGCTAGCTAGAACGAGGCACACACAGTCAGTATATCCCGTCCCGTCACGGTTCCCCTCTCCACTCCCCAGTACTGGGCACTGAACTATGGGCTTCAAGCATGCTAGGCAACCACTACCTAGCCCTCAGTATAACTTCTAAGGTGGGTGTCTGGCTTGTTTCTCCTGAGTATACCAAATTTTAGCTGCTTATGTTTTGAGATTCTTCACCTCAAGTTTACTGTGGAAAAGGAAGAACTAAAAGCCACATGCACATAAATAAGTCCAGTTCCCAAGAAGTTATCTAATCACTTACTGGAAATGTGTGAAACCTAAGGTAGGTAGATCAGCTCGTTCCCTAGCAAAGTCGGCGAGCCGAGAGATCACTCTGGCAAGCTAAAAGACAAGTCACATGGTGGAAAGAGTGTGAATTCACAGACAGTCAATTACATAATCAGAAACTAAACTTTTAGACAAATTTACATAAAATTAGGGCTCATAAAAGGCAGCATCCTCATCACCCAGAATGCCCTAATCAGAGTTAATAACAACCCATATTCAAAAATTGCATCAATTATTTACAAAGTTAAACCATTTTAAGACCATTGCAGAACAGGAGAAAATCATACGTAATACTGACCCATACATTCTAGCAAGACACACTTCCATCTTTTTAAAAAGACTTCACTTGTAGAGTTTTAACCCAAGAAAAGACAATTAGTTCCACAAATCAGGTATTGGGTCATTCATCTGAGAAAATGATAATCTATGTAAACACTGTGTTAATTTATTCATAATTGGAGCCCATCTCCTATTACCGGGACTCTAGACCTGGTAGAAAAATTTTTCCAACCTCTTACCTTTGGCAAAAGCAGATCAAATGCATTTCTGAGAATAATCAGGTCCTGCAAAGGAAAATTCAAGTCTTAAAACAGTTTGGTCAAATGGTATTATTACACAATGCTTTCTGGCCATCATAGCTGGGTTTCTCAGTAAGCAGCCTATTTTGTCTCTAGCAAACCACTATGTGTTCTGTTCTGATTACTGTTTCAAAAGCACAACTTACAGCAACAGTAGTGGGATCCACAAGCAACAAACTATGCTCATTAAATCCGAAGTATATGGTATCTAAAACAACTGTGAATGTGCAAGTCCACAAGGCTTTTATATTCCCAGAGTGGCTGAATCTCTCTCATGTGGTATATTCCATTAGTTTCCTCCCTTTTTCTTAATCTACATTTGCTAACAAGTGAAGGCATGAACTAGAACATCAAGGCTTAAGAAACTTAAAGTTGCTCTTTTTTTCCTTTTCAGTGCTAGGGAATCAAACCCTAGCCTTATACACACAAGGCTCTAGCCTTGTACACACTAGGCAGTGCGCTACCACTGAGCTACATCCCCAGCCCATCAGGATGTCCTTGAGTGAGGTAAGAGATGTTAACTATTTTGGGCAATGCCAACACATGCTTGTATATGAGAATTATTGAGATCAACTGGGTATTTTGAGAAGAATTTCCAAGTAAAAGGATTATTCTTCCATTATCTAACACACAACACTTTTACCTGTGTACTACTTAAAAAAAAAAAAAAAAAGAGCCTCCTGTGGTGGCACATGCCTGCAGTCCCAACTACTCAAGAGGGGGATGTGGGAAAATCACTTGAGCTCATGACTTCAAAACCAGCTTGGTGGCTAGGTGCCAGTGGCTCATACCTATAATCCTAGCTACTCAGGAGACAGAAAGCAGGATGACTGTGGTTCAAAGCCAGCCCGGGCAAATAGTTCTGCGGGACCCTATCTCGATAAAACCCTTTATGAAAAAGGGCTGGTGCATAGGGGCTCAAGGTATAGGCCCTGAGTTCAAGCCCCAATGTCACAAAAACAAAAAAAATACACCAGCTTGGTCAATATAGCAAACCGTAAGACTCTGTCACAAAAGAAAAAAAAGTGAGAGACTAAAAAAAAAAATTGTAAACAACAACTTAAGTTACTGGCTTCTTGAATTTGAAGTTTATCTAGTCCCACAGGTGCAGTAGGATTAAGTGCTAGAGTTGCTGTACCTGGGCTTGTATCCTGTTTTTGAGACAGTGTTTCCCTAATTTGCCAAGACTGGTCTCAAACTTTTGGAGTTAAGTCATCCTCTTACTCCAGCATCAGTAACTGACAATACATGTGTGCATTGTGCCCAGCTTGCACAGCTCATACCCTTTCTAGTTGTATAATCATGGCTACTTCTTCAATCACTTTTTGTTTTCTCATACTTAGAAACAGGGATATAAAGCCAGATCCAATGGACTATATATTCTATGATTCCATTTATGTGAAATCTCTATAAGGTACGAAACTATAGAAAAATCAGGTAAGGGGTCTGGGACAGGAGGCAAAAGTAGGGACTGATTACAAGTAGACAGAAGAGAACTTCCTGAGGGTGCAGGATATACTCTATTTATTACTGGCAGTACTGGGATTCAAACTCAGGGCTTTGCACTTGCTAGGCAGGTGATTTACCACTTGAGCCACACCCTTAACGCAGAGGGATATACTCTAAAAGTGGAGTGTGATGAAGATAAAACTCAGTAAAAGCTGTTTAAAAATGGAAATAACAGCACCTATGTCTTCTGGTGGCTGTGAAGAATAAATGAATATGCATACAGTGCTCAGAACAGTGCTGGCCACCTAATACATCTCAGGAAAATGACTGCTATTACTCTTCCAAGTTCTACTCAGAGACACTAATTAAGAGTTTCATTTAACAATTATAAGGCAGTCTTTCTTTCTACTCAGAAGCCACAACAAAATTATAAAAGCCTTTGGAAGTAAGAATCCTTTGAAATATTTATGTAAAATTTATAAATGGCATTATAAAGAATGAGTCGATATAAACAACACGGGTTCCTACTGTATTGTCTCCAACATAACAGGAGGTGGCTCCAAGATGAATAATGCCTGCAGCTTTTGGACAGCAGTGGCCAAACGTGTGCACGTGAGCCATCACGTCATGTCGTAACTGCCTCTCTTCTTCAGATGCCATCTTGAAGTCAATGTTGTCCAGGTTTGATTTCATCTCCTGGATTTGTTCATCTGTGATAGGCAAACCCAATGTCTGCAGAAAAGGCAAAATAAAATCAAATGACCTTAGTGTTACAACCATTTGAAGTGACACTGAAAAACATACTAACATTTATGCCGTAAGGCAATTTGGGTTTTGTTTTTTTCTCCCGGTGGGGCTGCGGTTTGTACTCAGGTCTTCACACTTCCAAAGCAGGCGATCTACCACTTGAGCAGATACTCACACCTCAAGCCAATTCTAATTAAAAACGGAAAATATTCCGTTTCTCAATGAATCATGGAAACTTTGATATATCAAACAATATAACCCTAGTCTTGACTGTTCTCTCTCTCTACCTCCACTTAACTCACTGCCTCCCATATTCTGTCTCTGAGCTCAGATGTCATTTTTTTGGATACGTCTCCCCTGACTTCAACGTAAAACATCCATCTGTTCCACTCTATCCCTTCAGCCTGGTTTTATTTAGAACACTAATCACTGATATTTTAACATAATTATTAGTTTACCTGCCCCTCCACATTGTATACTCCACGAGGAGAACTTTATTTATTAATGTTTAGTGCTTGGAACAGAAGTACCCAGAGTGTGACAGCTTTACATTTGACCTAGATGGATTTAGTCATAGAGAAACCAAAATTAGGAATTCTGTAAAGATGGCCCCACAATCCCAGCACTAGGGAGGGTGAGGCAGAAGGATAAATTCAAGGCCAGCCTAGGCTATATAGTGAGACCCTATCTCAATAAAAGACCCCCCCCCAAAAAAAATCTATAGAGTTTTGTCAGCAAATTCAGTCTCAACTGAAAGCAATTTCAGGGGATTCTGATGAGAAAATAAAAACATCAACATCTTAAATTTACCCATGACTGGAAAATTTAGGGGCTAGCAAAACAAGCATGGCAGTCCACAGGCAACTCAGAACCCCAGGTCCAAGGGCTAAACATATACACTGGTGAAATTACTCAAATCTCACTTGAAACATAGGAGTCTTGCGTCTTAGACTTGTACTGTCCAAGATGGCAGCCACTAGCTACATTTCAATTTAAGTTAACTAATTTATTAAAAGTAAAACGTCTCAGGGTGTAGCTCAGTTGTAAAGCACTTGCCTAGCAATACTACATACTACTATTCTGAGCCAATATTAAGTTTCTCTATGCCTCCACTGAAACAGGCACAGTAATAATATTTACCCTACATGACTGTTTTGAGGATTGATAAACTATTATATGAAGTCTTTTTCGTTTCTTCAGGGGAAAAACACACAGAACTTATTAAAAGCCTAAAAACATAGGAGTATTAGACTCTTATGTAAAGTCTTAAAACAGTGCTTGCAATATAGAAGGTACTATAAAAATGCCAACTACATCATATCACTTCATGTTTTGAAGCATAGCAATGCGGCTGGGAAGAGAGTCTAGGATAAATTTGGGGAGTTTAGTACCAGAGTCTTAGGCACTACTTATCGTTTTCTAGGACACTGCCACCTTGCTTGTTGTGGCACTTTTCTCTGAAACTTGAGAAGAAACATGACAGGTCTCTTGAATCACCTTCAATTTCCTTGACCTTCTCTGGGCAGCCTCTCCTCCTCCCCGCCCCCGAAGTGTTTCTAAAACTGTTGGGTTGAGTCGCTGTACAAAACGCGCCGATAAGAGAAATCATAAATCCGGTGTCATAACCCTACCCAGATCCTCCCTTCTCAGACGCAAAGCGCAGCACAGTGCAATTCAAACAGTGGTCTAGAAATCAGGTTCCAGGGGGTATGAAAATATCGCGAGATGTCTTAGGTGCTGAACTGGGCTTGGCGCAGCGAAAGGTAGCGAGGAGTTCGCTTACTGTCCTCTAAGCTCTCCTTTCCGCCGTACGTGATAAATTTTACCTGGAAAGAAATGCAGAACTGGCTTGTGCTTGTCTGCTTCAGCCTTCTGGCATGTGAGATGGCAGCTAGTGCCGTACGACTTTCCTCCATTTCAAGCCTTGATTTGAAGGGCACGCCTTTCAACCACGCCATGACTTCAGGAGCGCTCCTGGTCATGGCCAAGCTGATTTTTAGCACAGAGTTCTCTCGAATATATACAAGTCTCTCCTATTTTTGCCTTTGTTAAAATGACCCCCAGGGTATGGATTTAAACTTTGTGTCAGTGTAATTTGCTTTTTTTGTGACTGGATTTTACCTTAATTTCCCCCACAAGTCTGGCTTCCAATAGAAGTAAAATTTCCTTCCTTACTTACAGGCAAACTGCCTGTAAACATTACTTTGCAATCTCCTAAAGATTGTGGAACACTAAAATCTTGAATTTCTCCAGCAACTCCACAATCTGGGATTAAGAGGAAAGAAAATTCTGGGTTGAAAAACAGGAAAAAAAAAAATAGAAATCGGGTTCCAGCGCTGTCGCTAACTTCACCAGGCACTGTGGAAACCAAGCGGCTAAGCGCTCAGCTCAAGCTCTGGAGTGAGCCCTGGTTCAAGTCCCAGCTCCGCTCTTAAAAGCTGGGTGGCCTGGGGCAAAACGCGCTCTCCAGGCTCGCTTTTTCCCCCTGCTATGCAGGCAAAGCAACAGCAAGCCCATGGCACGCGACAGCGCTCCCGCCCAATGGCCAGGCTGAATCCACGTCACCAATCCTCCGGGACAGAAAGCACGGGCAGCAACAGGTGCTGTTCCCGGGCCTCCTGCCCTCGTGTTAATGGGGCCGCAGATACTAGCGACAGGGAACACCTGCCGAAAATAGCTCAGTCGCTGCTCCCGGACTGCAAGCCCGCGCTCGGCGCCATGCCCGGCACGTGCTGAGGCGGGGCCGCCCCCCCTACCCGGCTCTCAGCCCGTTACCTGCTCGGCCTCCGCCAACCACAGCCAGAGCTGCCGCCACGTCCGGAATTTGTACCTGTCGCTAAACACGAAGCACATTTCCGGGCTGGCATAGCGGGAGGCAAGCGGTGAGCGGTAGCAGTCGGGACCTCCACTATCGCCTCCCGCCGCCATCCCCAACTCACAGCAGCGGACAAGCTGGGCAAGAGCGGAAGCGGAAGTCTAGGTGACGGGAGGGCGGGGCATCTCCCAGTGGGGCGGGACTTCCTCCGCTGCTCCCGCCTCCGGGGTTGCAGGTGGCCCCAGGGCTTGGCTGTTTCATGATGGGCGCTGCAGTCTTTTTCTTCGTTTACAAGAATGATTAGCCAGACGCTGTTGGCTTACGCCTGTAACCGTAGCCACTCAGAGAGAATCGCGGTCCAAAGACAGCCCAGAGAAATAGTGCCTAAGAACCTATTGTGAAAATACCAACCACAAAAAAGGGCTGGCAGAGTGACTTAAGTGGTACGGCGCTTGCCTAGCAAGCATGAGGGCCTGAATTTAACCCTTATTAGCGCCAAAAAAAGCATAATTAGTACTTCATAAATTACAGAGCCGCTCTGAGCCTCCTCAATTTTTCCATCTGAAAAAGGCATATTAAGACCTGCCTTTGCACATATGAATATAATAAAAGAAGAAGAAACCCGCCTTTAAGACTGTGGGGCCGCAGCTGTGCACTTTAGTGGATGTCTATAATCCCAGCAGTCAGGAGGGCAAGACAGGATCATCACAGAGCTCTCAGCCAACCTGAGCTACAAAAAAAAAAAAAAAAAATTGGTGTCTGATATACTTAGTAGACAAATAATAGGAACTTAGAACTCTTTTTGCTTTTAAAAAAAAGAAACTACTTTCTTGGGCCCACAAGTTAGTAAAAGCAGGTATTTTGCATCTGTCTTCTTTGCTCAGAATTCCTTTGCTCAGAGGCATTCTTTTGTGCAGTCACCTGGGATTCTGGTGGACTGACAGATAAACAAACATTTTGTGATTAGTTGAATCTACCTCCCAGGCTACTTCCTACATAGTTATGACTCTCTTTATGGATATTGCTTGCCTGACCAATCCTGAGAGAGTGATCTGCTGGACCACACTCCACCCTTTTTTTTTTTTTTTTTGGTACTGGGGCCTCACGCTTGCTAGGCAGACACTTTACCACTTGAGCCACTCCACCAGCCCTTTTATGTGTTGAGTATTTTCAAGATAGGGTCTTGTGAACTATTTGCCTGAGGCTGGCTTCAAACCTCGATCCTCTTGATCTCTGCCTCCTGAGTAGCTAGGATTTAGGATTACAGGACTGAGCCTGGCTGGACCCACCTTTGAACAGTCCTTCTTAATTATATATACCTCTTCCCTTCTGCCCCAATTCTTCATTTATTTAAACCTAGACTTCAAGTCAGTCCCCCCAGTGGTGGCTGAAGTGTTTACTCTACCCTTCACTAACACTGGTCTCTTTAATTGGTGTGTTGGGACTCTTGGAATGCCAGCTTTTGCCCTAAACCCAGGTAACAGGCCCTACACATTTGTTGTTGTTAATTATATTGCTGCCCAAATGAAGATCCCAAAGGGAGAATGGTTCTATTGCATACCAAATGAGTCCACTGAGCCAAGCTGCAATAGAAATGGATTTCAAAGGCTGGCAGAGTGGCTCAGGTGGTACAGCACCTGCCTAACAAGCATGGAGCCCTGAGTTCAAACTCAAGTACTGCCAAAAAAAAAAAGTCCTACCAAAAAAAGGGCTGGCAGAGTGGCTCAAGCAATAAGACCACCTGCCTAGCAATCATGAGGCCTTGAGTTCAACCCCCATGCCACCAAAAGTAAATAAATAAATAGAAATAGATTTGATCCTGTGCTTTTATAACAGGTACTTAAACTGCTTTTGCTGAAAAGCACTGACTCCTTACCGGAGCCTGTGAATTAAGGGCAGAAGAAAAGCTTGCCTCCCTGCCATTCACTTTGCAATCATCTTGGAATCCAGGAAGGACAGGACTGGTTGGTAACATCTTTATGATGAGAGACAGAAACTACCACCAAACAACAGTGAACCTGGAAGGACAGACCATTCCCCAAACAGAAGGCCCCCCCAAAAGAGGACAATCACCTGGAGCTTCAGTAATTACCAGCATTTGGAGCAGAAGTAATCTCAGATTTCTTCCCTCAAGTGATGACAGGAATCCTTAGAGAACAAGGACTGAGTCAATCAGTCCCCACCTGACCAATCCTGAGACAATGAGCTGCCAGACCACCTATTGCCACCTCTGACCTGCAGAGTACACCTGTGTCTGTGATTGTTTAATAATTACGCAGGTGTCTGCGTGCACTCATGGGGGAAGGCAGATAAATGAAAAGAAAAAAAAATTGTACATACCTTTCACTCCTGCCCTCTTTGTCTATTTAAAGCAAAAGTTCATGCCTGACCAGGCACCGGTGGCTTACACCTGTAATCCTAGCTACTTGGGCAGCAGAGATCAGGAGGATTGGAATTCAAAGCCAGCCTCAGGCAAATACTTTGCAAGACCCTATCTTGAAAATACTCAACACATAAAAGGGCTGGTGGAGTGGCTCAAGTGGTAGAGGGTCTGCCTAGCAAGTGTGAGGTCCTGAGTTCAAGCCCCACTACCAACAACAAAAAAAAAAAGTTCATGTCTGTATATGCTGAAGATGAACTGAAGTGCTGTCTTCCAAACCTCCTTCCTCTGCCCACCACCATGTCTCTTTGGTGTATAAGGACCAATGGTCAGATCTGACATGTTGGAATCCCAGGAGTTTAGGCTTTGGACCTTCCATATGAGGGAACTGAGAGAAGCCGGGTGAATTTCTGAGTCACCTAGCCAGGAGGTTGAGCTGGCCTTAAGACCCAGATCCTCCCCACTTAGAAGCTACACTCACACTCAATGCCCAGGTCACATACCGTCCTTCCACCCCTTCCTGGAACACCTGTTTTCTTACTACCTCCATAAGACCCAGTCAAGAAAATGTTCCAGTGGTCTCACTCTCTCCTCTGGTGGCCAATAATTACAAAACCATTACTGTTTGTGGAGGTCTTCTCAAGCATCAGACGCTGCCTAAGCGCTTTACACAGGTGAAATCATTTAATCTTTGTGACAATCTTGGGTTGCTCCAGTTATTAAATGAGATAATACAAGTAAAGTGCTTGGCACAGAGTAAGTGCTCAGTAAACGCTACCCATTCTTATGGTCCTTGTGCAGGTGACAAACAAAAGCAGAAGAAGATCGTATGTCTGCTTGACTCTTGCAGTAAGGAAGCACTAAGCACTAAATGCAGGTGGAAAGAATCCAGATGATTTTTTTTTTTTTTGATAGCACTGGGGTTTGAACTTGGGACCTCACACTTATGAGGCAGGCACTCTCCCACTTGAGCCACTCTGCCAGCCTATTTTTGTGTTCAGTATTTTTGAGATAGGTCTCTCAAACTATTTACCCAGGCTTACTTCAGGCTGTGATTCTCCTGATCTCTGCCTCCTGAATAGTCACGATTACAGGTGGGGGCTCCTGGTACCCAGCCAAGATACCTAGGCTTTGAACTGTTTTCGAGTTCCCCCATAAACCTTGACCTTCTCAGGAGAATTCCATTTTGAATTCCCAGCTTGTTTGCTGAGGTGAACTCCCCTTTCCCAATAACCATGTTTCAGGAACATTAAAAGTTACTGATTACATCTTGAGGTTTGACAATGGCTCTCTTCTTTGACAGTCACTTCATACTGTCACCTTTCTATTTCTGCTTTCACTTATTCACAAGTTCACTCAAAAACCTACAAACCACCCTGCCAGTGTCTCATTCCCAACTCCTTACTTTCTTAGGTGCCAGGTGACCTCCTGGCCTCTTATAGACTATTGAAAATCTCACCTGAATTCAGTGTTGGCTGACTTCCCCATTGACAGCAAACTCAATAGAGGTAGAGATTGTGTGTGTCTTAGTTACCTCTGTGTAGCCCAGCACTGAATCTGGCATAGTAGATGTACTCAATAAATACTGGCTGAATAAATGCTGTCTCAAAGAGTCTAGCCCAGCGGGAGAAATAGGACCACAACAGCCATGATCTGGACCCTGAACTATTTTTTTTTTTGCAGTACTGGGGCTTGAACTTGGGGCCTACACCAACTCAGCCACTCCACCAACCCTTTTTTGTGAAAAGTTTTTTTTGGATAGGGTCTCACGGAACTATTTGCCCAGGCTAGCTTTGAACCACAATCCTCCTGATCTCTGCCTCCTGAGTGGCCAGAGCCACTGGCACCTGGCTCTGACCTACTACTGACCTACTGACCTACTCTGACCTACTCTGAACTACTTCTTCCCTCAACCTCTCTCACAAGTCCTTCAGGGTCCTCATTCCCTGGCTCCTTCATGTCTCCACCTGGGATCCAGAATTAGTAGTCAAGATTGACTGTAGCACCAGTCTCAAGGAACTGGTGCTAGCAGGGAAGCCTACCAGTTACCTGCTCTCATTTCTGAAGATGGGGATAGAGGGCAGAGATTATTCTGAAAAGATGAAGGATTTGATCCTGTGCTTGCCCACTCTGTGGAGTGCTTGGAGCTGTCATTGCTCTGACATACTGTGGTATATTAACTGTTCTCTCCACTTGGAACTTTGAAGGGTCACCTAGTTCCTCAGCCTTCCAGCCCTTTCTCCTGCCTCTGCTGTTACTCTCCATCCCCTCAAAATAGGAGTTTTCTACCTCCAGTCTTCTGTGTTCATTCAGGAAAAGGATCCTGCTCCTTCAATTATTCCATCTTCACTTGCCCGTATCTCTGTAACATGTTTAACCAGCCATTTCTGGCACCACTGTGTATTCACTCTGTTACTTTTGGCACTTCGGTCTTCTCTCCCGCTCAATGTTGCAGATGATCCCAAGAGTATAGTGCAGTGTGTTGGCAAGAAGAGGGGCTAACTCCCTAGCTTACTCACGACCTGGAACTCCTAGGCTCAACCAAGTTGTCCCCATCCCTGC